GCTCATTAAAGTCATAATGGCATACAAGTCTAATTTTTCTAGCCTTAACTAGAGGTAAAGGTAAAGGTAAAGGTAAAGGAAAAAGTATGGGGGACACCAGCGAAGCCTTAACTAGAGCGGAATCATACTTTTTAAGGTTGGTTTTCTTTGGACCTTTTTATTGAATCGTAAAATTTAAGTATAACAAATGTTTTTGAAGTGCCTCATATACTCTGATATGCACTGTTTGACACCGAAATTACAGTGCTACTAAGAAGAAAAATCTGATATGGACACCACATGATTTCCTAGTACGGCCTATTATGCACACTTTTTGTTGCATTTCATTTCAACTTATTTCCTCGAATTATTCTATCTTAAATAACCGATCTTTCAAGACAAGTTGAAAATGACAACAAAAATCGCCGATTTTAAAATTAGTAATTAATAATAACATCTAATAATATCCAAAAATAATATCTCGGTCAATCTTTGTCGTACGGAAGTCAAACTTTTCCTGATTTCATTTTATCATAACGAGTACAAAATTCTCCCAAATATAAAATATAGGAAACCGGGGGGGACGTATAAAAAAGTTATTTCGTTACGATTTAGTTTTTTGTCGAAAATTAGATTTTTGTTTTTTAATTTGACATTGCTATAACATAAATATTTAATTGAAAGTATATGACTACGACCAACGATTGTGAAAATAAAGGCCTGGTAAGGAGCTGGGTATATATATATATATATATATATATATGTAAGAAAAATAAAGAGTATGCAAAAGATTAAATTAGCAACGTAAATTAATTTCCCTTCTCTTTTCTAAAAATAGCAACATCTATTTGCACTGCGTCATTTCGAGAAAAATCTATGTCATATGACTCTTACGTAATTCTGGTGATGTAAATTGAACTAAAACTCAAGCAGCCAATGATAGTTTTACAGCACTTAATATGCTTTGAGAACCAAAACTAACTCAGCTTGACTTGAGATTTCATCCTGAACATTACTCCCTTTCTTTCTACGCTTTGCCTTAGCGTGACTATAGTCTGTTTGCTTCTTCTTTTTTGCTGCAAATCTATCAAAAATATAAGCCCTTTGGAACAGGCACATTTAATGTGCCGACTTGTGTGTAGCCGCAACATGTTGCTGAAAATAAAACTGAAGATTTAATCTGCCTTCGCCTCCAATTTCCTAGTCATTACGGGATCAACACTTCTACGCCATCAAAATTCCTGCTCCTTAATATATTACATATATATACATATAAGCTTAGTTCTACTTTTGTAATAAAAAAAGGGAGTTGTGCAAATACATATTATAGCAGTTCCATGTACAAAAGTTGAATGCTCCTCAGATATTTTTTTTTTTTTTTTTTAGTTATGCTAGTTTTATACACATAAGAACGTACGTGCACACGTACAGAGGTGAAGAAAAACTATCTTTTGAATCCACTTTAAATCCATTTTACAAACCATTTTTTTTTTAAATGTCCTTTATTATGTCCGTACATACAAACGTCAGGCAAAAAAATCGTCCAAATGGATTCAGAAATGGCCAAAAAGATATTTTTGTTGAAATATGATGCCCAAAATTTTCCGCTATTGCAATATTTCCTTTACTTCGTATAAGGAAGTGAAAAACCAAGAGTCTCTCTGGTGTCAAGTTCTATAAAGTCATAATGGCAAACAAGTCTACTTTTCGTATCCTTAACTAGAGCAGACTGATCAGTTTCTCAGGCTTTCTTTGCGACTTTTCGTTTCAAGTACGAGCAAATGTTTTTGAAGTGCCTCATACACTTTGATATGCACTGCTTAATACTAAAATCAGTGCTAATAAAAAGAAAAAGGCCGTACAACTAATGCAAAGGAAGGGGTTGTAAATGTATCTGCGACATAAAAATAAATTATCAGATGGGCATGATTTAAGAGATTAATTTCAATCGGCTACCTATGCTAGTCTTAAATGTTAGAAAGTCTAATCGAATATGATTTTTATATTCTAGTCGTGTGAAACTTCAAATACTAGATAAATCTTGTGAGCAGATTATGTGTTTTCTCGAGTTCTTTGACGTGCAGTGCGGTCATCCCAAGATGCATAAATTACAAAAATAATAATTATATTAATAAATATAAATAATATAAATAATAATTATATTAATAAATTAATATACATAAATTACATTCATTTGCATGTAATTTATGTATATTATTGCCATATTCCACATTGAATAAATCTATATGATCAGATAATTTATTTACAGTTTTTGATCATTTTCATATCAGTCATATATCTATCGATCATCTCAGTTTCAAAACCTGATATTTCTAGAAAATTCCTTATTTTTCATGGTCAAGTACAAAGACATTAGCGGACTGCTTTCTTGGTTTATTTATTTATAACAAAACTGCCGGGTTATTTTTCTAATAACTACACTCCGCAAAATAAAAATGGAATAGTTTTATATCTCCCGTTCTTCTGGGCTAATTGACGAAATTCAAATTGCGTTTTCCATGTCTCGAAAGCTCGGCTTAGGATATATATTAGATTTATATATAGCATTATTCTAAAGTAGATATTTTGACACAAAATCGGACGTTTTCTGAAATGACAAGCCAATTTCTTTCCAAATTTCAATTCTACTACTTAAAGTATGTCTAAATATTAAATTTTGTAAAAATTGGTGAGAAATTTAAAAGAAATTTAAAAATTTATCTTGGCGCATTTTTTAGTTTGCGCCAAGAATAGTTCACTTGGAATTATTAAACTATATTTGGCCTTTTAACCAATATGGCAAGGTTCAAAACGCGCCATTATGTAAATTTGCGTATATCTTGGAAAATTTTGAATAAAATACTCTATTTTTTATAAGTATGCCTAGAAATATATCTATTTTAAAGTGATGATAAAAGTTTTATAATTGAAACATCTTTTTTGATAAAATTTATACTCATTAGTAAAAAATACAAACTTTAAAATGAAATCAGAAAATATCGCAAATTTTATTTGGACTGAACTTAAATTTTGAACTGTGAAAGAAGGAATGAAATAAGTTTAATAAAAAAGAGATATTTGAAAATATATTCATGATTCAATTAACACTCAGGAGCTAAAATTTTAAGAGTTAATGTTTTAACCCTCCCTGCGGTTTTTACAAAACTTGGCACTATGGCATAATTTGAGTCGTACAATCGAAACATAGAAAAATATTTCGTGTCATTTTAAAAAAATCCCGATTTTGGTATCTATGTTAGAGTAATTTTATATATATATAAATGTAATATATATTTTAAGTCGTGGTTTCTAGACAAGATAAAGGCAAGTTAAATTTCTTCAATTAAACTGTTAGAACGGGAGATATAGAATTGCTTCCCTCCCCCTTTTTTTGTGCAGAGTATCCATTCAAAGATCTGGAACGGATTAATGGCATACACTGAAGAACCATTGTATTTTAAAACATGTTTTTCGGGTACATGCAATTAACGAATTATTTCCTTTAAGTTATGATTTTGCAGATGCTTTTGGCCGTTACGTATCTGAAATACTGTATTCTCTCGTACATAAGCTACACTTTTTCTTCACAAAAAAGCACATGAAAATCGGAAATGTGGCTTATATACGCGAATGATTAGTACTAATTATACAGAAACTTGTGGCAACACAACAACAATATTCTTTCAACAGCAACGCGTGTAACAGCAGCAACAACATAGCAGAGCATAAATTGAGCATAAAATCCATTGCTTTGGGATGAACATTACTTTCGACAGTCTCCGTTTTTAGTCATATTGGCAACGCTTTTGCGTAGTTATCGCATTACGACCAACGCCTTAGGGATTAATTCTCAAAAGAGGGGTTAATACTAGCTTAGTAACAGCATACAGCATCATCATTATTTATTAAATATCATGTTCTTCGCACTTAAACAATAAAATTCATTTCAACAGCAATATCGCAAAATAATTTTAAATTGAGCATATCTTTAGACTTTCCGACACACAGTCTCGCGCGCTAGAGATAAAAATGTTTTTCTGTAAAACGTTGGCTTGGCTCGCTTTGAAACCCTTGAGTTTTTTAATCAAAAAATTCGTTTAAGTTTTTACAAAATATGAAATCGATAATAAAACAAATTTCAAATTCCAAATTCAGGCTTCCCTATGCCTATATTCGGGCCTAGATGTACGTTACTCAAAATCTGATATTTCTAGGTACCCTTGTTTTTTCACAATGCAAGAAACATAAATACATTTATGCAGACTCTTCATTATTTAAATTTCTTTAAATATAATACAGGGCGATAGTATTTGGTGGCAACAATTTGAAAAGTGAACCGACATTTATAATCAAGCAACGCAAAATGGCAAAACGAAATTAATAGCCCTTCTGAGCTAACGCCCTTCGGGCTAAAAAAATATTGTAGATAGTAGATAGACTACCCCGGTTTACCTTTGAAAAAAATTAAATGATTAATACTACAGGTGCGGCTTAGACACACGAGAATACAGCAAATATTATGAAAGAATTTATAATTTAGGAAATTCGTGTTAAGTTATTAGATGATCCGGGGAGAAAAATGTTGAAACTGTTAACGTAACAACTAATATGGTAAAGAACGACGACAAAGTACATTCTTTGCATCTATTATGCACTTAATCGAATACTTGCATGCTTAAAGAAAATTATTAATGGACCAATGAACTCAAGAAAATTGAGAATATTACATCACTCGAGTCATACAGCACGCTTTCAGAGTTATTTCTCATCTCGACATTGTCGAGATGTCAAGAAAGTTACGTAAATTTAACGTGCTTCAGAACAAAAAAAATTACTATCTATCCGAAAAACAAAACACCGGGCGTATCCATGAAGCCCACATTCCGAAATGACCAACACGTTTTTTTTTAACCCCGAAGTGTAATTCTTACATACAGAAACCACCACGTGACCATAATGACCGAGTACAGCTTATTTAAGATCACTATGGCGTGTCGAGACTCAACGAAAACACTTTCCCCACTTTCAGCCAGTGACAGTTCCTTTTCACATCTCCACTGAGCGGATGACAACAGAATTTTCTAATATTTTTTATAAGTTCCTCTCCATACTTCCGTAACTCCTACAGTATGTGGATTTTCAGGATTGTGCTTGTGGTGGGTAAGTACTTTTCTGGTCTCGCAAAATTATGAAGGAATTTAATGCAATTTCAACTTTTAAATTTTAAATGTTTATGAAAATAGAATTTTCATAAACATTTAAAATTAAAAGTTGTTAATGAAAGTTTACGAAAGTTAAAAAGTTGTTCTGGAGAAACTTTTTAACTTTCAACAGTTTAACTTTTTAACTTTCGGAGAAAAATTAAATAAATGTGAGAGACAAGGTATTATCATTATTTATCCTCAAATTTTGTCCGGCTTGATAAAGATTCTCTGAAAACTATTTCACAATTTGTTTATTTTTAATTTAAATTTAATTTAATTATTTAATGATTAATGAAGTATGTTAGAATTACTTGGAAGAAATTTAAGTCTAAGCAATTAATATTTAGCTGTAAAATATTTGAATCACGAAGCGTAAACAACAAAATATGTTATGGTAACAAACTTTAGATTTCGGGTAGAAAATAACCATACATTTTATTTTCCCCCTTTTATTGTTTATGTATGTTTTGAGAACTATTTAGTAAGCAAAATCTTAAAGTTTATTTAAAGTATTTTTTATTTTGTTAATAAAATTTTAAAAGAAATTCTGACCATCAGATGTTTCTGAAAGTTTCAGGTAATGTATTCGATCCGCATGCAATTTAATATGATACTACTATTCTAGAGAATTTTAAACTATAAAAATGTCTTTCAGATTTTCTCAGGTTTAAATAAAACCAATTCTCGATTCCGAAAAATTACCTGGAGAAAAATAAAATAAAGTGTCTGTACATTTTTGTAAATTATCAAAATCCCAATCCATTTCCCAAATCTTTGTGAATCAAGCATTTTAATGGAAAAGTAATTTTTTTTAATGTCAGGTTATTGCAGAACTAAACGCTACTTAGCATTTCCTTCCATAGATTTTTGAAGTTACATTTTCTCTTTACTGCAAACAAAATTTAAATTCATTAGCTATTAAATCTACTTGTTAATCTTTTAACCAATAATCACGATTTGCGTATCACGCTGCAAACGAGAAAATTAAGATTTAATTTTGTGAGATTTAATTTTTAGATTTAATTATTTTGCATTTAATTTTCGTTTAAACTATTATGCGAAATATTTGAAACTCTTCAAATAGATGGACTTATATGGATTGTAATTAATTAGTTTTAATGGGGATTGTAATTAATTAGTTTTAATCATGTTGATTGTAATTAAGAAATTTTGGGAAAATCTTCGCTTGTTGGTAGTAATATTATACCTTTGATTTTATAACTGTTCTGAACTTTTAAACTACTGTTAATTCGTATTTATACCCAATAAAATATCTTTCAAGTATTTTATGGGATTTAAACAGTTTCTGTTTTTCATTTTGTAAAACTAGTATTTGAACCAAAATTACTGAAATTTTAAATAAGAAGACTTTTGAGATGTTAAATATAATTATTCAACATATAAAATAAACTGGAGAGTGTATTGGTGAATAAGCTTGAAAAACTGCTCCACTAGCTGCCGAGCCGTAAAATCCTTTTGAACGGATTAACCAAACTAAAACAAAGTGAAGCAAAAATTAATATTTCATTGATTGGACCACAAATCATTTATTAGTTAACAACTTTAATATTATGACTACAGCTCGGTTATTATGGTTGTTAGTAGAGCTAGGTATTACCTAGAAGATAGCGGATAAGGTCTGAATGCTTATGATTTAAGAGCAGAAGAACGCAGAAATTGTTGTTCGGGAAGTCTTTCTCTGCAATTTGTGAATAATACAACGAGAATGGTAAAAGACTCTCGGATACAATTCAGCAAAATGCTACTTATCAATAATGACATAATTAATTACCATTAGATGCTCACCAGTTTGTAACTAAAATTACATTTTGTTAGCTTCTTTGATTAATTAATAAACAGGTAATATATGAGGAAAGTATAGGGAATAATAGCGAATCCACTTCTATCTGGTATCCCATTTCACAAACTATTAAAATACATTAATTTGAGGAATTTCTTTCCATGGAGATTTAACACCAGAGTATTGAAGGTATTCCTATTTCATCCCACCTAAAATCTTGCGGTTAAAGTCTTCAAAGCGTAGAATTACATATGTTAATAAATTCTTACATTACAAAATTTAATAATGTATTATAATATTCGTAGCTGGTACTCTTTCACAGGAATATATAACCGGAAACGGAAGTTGTCTTTTTTACGCTTTGACTACGATCCTTGAACCAATACATGCGCAATTATATACTACATGATTTTAATTATAATTACTGAGAAATGTTATACTTGAGTTCACAGAATTTAGGGTAATTACTTGGCTTGTCACTTCAGCTGTTGAAATGATACCTTCTCTCCCGCTCATTTCGGTAGCCTTATTAGAGCTTTTAGCATTTTATTTCGTCATGAGAAATTTTGCATTACTACAGAAAAATGTTCAGATATGAAAGGAAACTCGTAACTACGAAACTATGAAGTCGCATCTGAAGCTACGAAGAAATTTGTAGGATCACCAGTGGAAAAAGAATTGTTGCAAAGCTGATTGTTATAAAGTTGTTATTTAGCATTTTAAAAAATTCCCTTTGATCATGGTACCAGTAAAACATTTATGTACAGTATCATATGAAGTGCTTCATTTGGGTACAGTGTATGTTTCATTCACTGCATTTGTACTTTAGTATTAAACAATGTTATACTATTAATTATGTGATTTTTGCTATAAAAATATAAATTTTTTCCCTTTATTTCTAATCGGAAATGCTCGTTTGGTATATGTCCAAGGATTTGGAACGGATTCATGACGCATATCAACGTACCACTGTATATCTATTAGTATGTAAGATTCTCACTGGTGTATTTCTCAGTTACTGTAGAAAGTGACAAATCTTAAGAACTAGTTAGCGAATAATCGCTTAAGTTCGAACAAGAAACAACAAGATGGAAGGGTAACTAACCCTTTATTATTCCAATAAGATTTAACAAAACTCCGTCTTGGAGTGTACAATCACAGCCGACACTTGGGCTTAAACTTAAGAGACTAAAAATTAAACTAAAACTAAGATTAACTAAAGAAATATAGCCGAAGCTATCAAGATTCTAATCGAGTTGGCCCCTTAACTCTATTTGACTACGAAGCTTATCAAGGGTCTGAGTACGGCCGAGCGTAATAACAGCTTTCAGAGAGAGAGAGAGTAGCCAAAAGGCAGACGAGCGTAAATTAGAAACTCGGATTCTCTCTAACTCTGTAAGTAACATCGCGGTTTAAATACCGCTCCTCCTCATTAAGTATTCAGAAAAATTCCAAAACTACGTTCTGGCCGGAAGTAGTAAGTTGAAGTTAAGAATTTGAGAGGAAAAGAAACTTTAACTTAAAATTTAACTGTTAATAAAATTAACATAATCCTTACAAGTAAATGTTTTAGATATACCCTGTAGACTCCACGTTTTGATCATATGGGCCGGCTTGTGCTGTCTAGGAGGGTCAGGGCTGTGCCCTTATGATGATGATGATGATCTTGTAAACTAATGTCTTCAAAAGCATCGATACATGTAATGCAATTATTTCAATAATTAGATTTAAGATGAAAGCTAGAGTCAGGAACGTAAGAGACTAAAAATTAACAAGGCAAATGTTTGCTTATTTAAAAAATTATCAAATCTTTTTGTACATAAACAGTTAAAATACATTTGATATCTGTAATTCTAATTAACAATTACTGACATAATTTTAATTTATTTTCAGCAATCGTTTTTGTCCATGCTAAAGCTGAATCTACTGATTTAGAACAATTTTTTGCATCTGGTGTTAAAGAGGATGGTTCTGACTTAAATACAGAAAGACAGGTATATGTGTACTTTCTTCTACCTGGTTTGCTTCTTGAAAAAATAATATCACGATTTTTCACTCCTAAAAAGATCCTCTTAAAATTCCTCTTCCTAAAAATCCTCCTAAAATTCCCCAAAGTTCACTCCTAAAATTCCAAAAAATAATATCACAATTTCTTATTCAGAAAACCCTTAAGAAATAGTCATTAAAAAGAGCTTCTAATTCAAACTGAGATATGACAGTCTTTTCGGGAAGCGCTTCTATAATACAATGCAGCGATAATAATAAAAAAGCAGAATTTACATGAAATAGAATATAATTTACAGTAATTTACAAAATGAAAAACGTTATGAAGCGTTTCCTAGAAAAAAAAAGGAATTGTAAGATTTTACCGGGTAATTAAAAAGTCAGTATAAATTTGAAAACTTAATAAATCACAGAATAATGTAGATAGAGAAGTAAAAATTTGACACACATACTTAGAATGACATGGGGTTTTATGACATGGGGAATGACATGGGGTTATCGGGCCTTTTTTCTTCGAGGAAATGCGTGATTCTGGTTTTGTAACTGCTACCGTGAGGGTGAGAGGTACGCCGATAAGTTACAGAATCGCATCGTCCCCAGCCTGGCTGATAAACACCTGCTGGAACGTACGATTTTTATGCAGGATGGCGCTCCACCCCATATTGCTAGACGCGTGAAAAATCTCTTGCGCGCGTCGTTTGGTGATGATCGTGAGCTCAGCAGCCACTTTCGTCATGCTTGGCCTCCTAGGTCCCCAGACCTCAGTCCGTGCGATTATTGGCTTTGGGGTTACCTGAAGTCGCAAGTGTATCGTGATCGACCGACATCTCTAGGGATGCTGAAAAGCAACATCCGACACCAATGCCTCACCATAACTCCGGACATGCTTTACAGTGCTGTTCACAACATTATTCCTCGACTACAGCTATTGTTGACGAATGGTGGTGAACATAGTGAGCATTTCCTGTAAAGAACATCATCTTTGCTTTGTCTTAATTTGTTATGCTAATTATTGCTTTTCTGATCAGATTATTGCTTTTCTAATTATTGCTTTTCTAATAAAACCCATGTCATTCTAAGTATGTGTGTCAATTTTTACCTCTCTATCTACATTATTCCGTGATTTATTAAGTTTTCAAATTTATACTGACTTTTTGATCACCCTGTATATTAATTACCCAATTATTATGATTTGAAATTCTACTATAACTTTTTTCCTGTAGTCCTCATCAGAATGTAAATTAGTTGTAGGATGTTTAAGCCGAGGGTTTAAATGTTGTAGAGTTAAGGCTTCTGGAAATTTCGCTTTGCATTTCCCGTCTTACAGCCAGCTCTGCCAAATTTATTTTGGCTTTAGCCATTTTGCTTTCCAACGTAAAAACATGCTATTAATTACTTATCCAGCTTAATTATATAATAAAGCTTAAGTATGAAATCCAGCTTAAGTATGTCCCTTTATATAGTCTCCGACTAGGTTACTTAGATTTGAATTGCAGTTTATGTCATTCTAATACCTCCCAACTGGCGAAGTTTCGTTCTATAACACAAGCAGAGCCTACTATTAAAATTCAGGAATTAATAAAAGAGATTGTTTTAACCTTTGTAGGACATTATCATTTTGATTCAGACAAGAACAATAGCTCGCTTGTCAGTCTGAAGGACAGAGATTTAAATTCTGTACAAATAGAACTCTGTAGGGTAAGCTAAAGTAGAGATTAATTTTATTAATTACAGATGATATATTTTAATACTGTAAAACTCAGGTAAACCATTATTATTTATTTTTCTTTCTTGTTGTTATTCAGTACTTCAATGATTGTCTGCAATGCTTAATTTACATCTGCATTTTATTTCACAGGATAGGGAAACTGCCAGTACTAATGAGCTTCTTCAGTTCATGAAACGCTCTGGATTGTTTCCAGCTACAGGTGTAAGAACTACAAATGTAAACACTGTTAATAACGAAAACAGAAATCAACAATTGTTAGCTGCTCTCCAAGCCATTAACAGACAGCAAACCAATCTTGGGTATTCACAGCAGTACATGCCTCAAAATTATGTAAATACGCAGCAACAAGTACCTGCTTTAATTCGAAGTTTACCAACAAGTAACTTGATTTATCAACAGCAGCAAACATCTGTAACAGCCAACAATAATCCTAATTTCGCTTACCAACAACAAACTCCTTTAACATCCAGCCTTGCCTACCAACAGCCACAATCCACCAGTACAAGCTCTAGCATTAAATTCAGTAGTTCTCAACAGAAAGCAAGCAATGATGATGGAAATCTTTCTTATCAACAACCTCAGCAAACAACCGATATTAACAAGAAACTCGATTATCCTCAAGAAAAGGAATCCAGTACTGATTCTCAGGTAACTTATACTCAGCTTCAGCAAAGCAGCAAGCCAACTGACGATAAAACTGCATCTAAAGCCGATAGGCAAGGAATATACGATTACGAAGCTCATGGTTACGATAATTCACATGCTGGAGGATATGGCGGAGGTTATTCAGGAGAACACTACATTTCTGAACCAGTGGGTTATAACGGATATAATAAAAATGTTCATATCCCTGTGCCAACAGTAGCCATTAAGCTTGATCCTTTGGGTTTCCTTAGACTTCTTCTTCAAGGTATACCGAGACCTATACTGAATTTAAATGGCAAAGTCTTCTTTGGTGTAGAACTTGGTAAAGGAGTGGGAGTTGGAATAGGGAAGGGAGTTGCGCCAGCACCTCATTATGGAGGAGGAGGGGGAAAAGTGATAACTCTAGGATAAAAAATTTAAGCATACAAATTGAGATAGACATGTGATATGTTATTTTGTCTGAAGGATTAATTTTATTATTTCCAGTTCTCCAAATTTTAAATTTGCATTTTTAGCTCATGGAATCTCACAAAAATGATGTGATAGAGAACGGAAATTTCTTAAATGCATTACATGTGAAATACACATTTTCATTTCATGCTGGGTCATGGTATTGGGTTAAGTAAAATTCAATATTTGTTTTTAATTTTGAAGGTTTGAAAACAATCATCGCTTTTCTTCTACAGATGAGTAAAATTGAACGAAATTTATGAATGTCATTATACTTCTAATTTTTATTTCGTCATATGAGAAAAACTACACATTACTAAATGCACCTATGCACTTTTGCTAAAACATATTGGAGGCGCAAAAGAAACATGTCATATTTTTATGCAAGGAAATAACTTCTTATTTCGTTATTAAGCTATTTGAAAAACAAATCTTACTCTGAAATGTTTTAAATGAAAATATGGAATTTCAAGTGCAATTTTTAATCACTGGGACACTAAATTGTTTTAGTGATAAGTGAGTTTTAAGTATTATAAAATAAATCCTTTTTGGGTGAATCTTTTTGTAGGTATTTGGTTTTAGGAACAATATGTTTAAGAGCAGTGCCTTTTCATGTGTATTTAATTGAGAAAGCAAAGCTTTTAAACTTCTTTTTCAATTCTCTTATTTTATTAATATAGGGTAAAGTTACGTAAGTCGTATCTTCTAAGAAAAAACATTTAAAAATCGTAGAAGCTATGAAAAATATGAGAATCCTGTGTGGTAATAGTTTTTCGTATTGTCGTTACAGATATTTATTACAACAAAACACCATACAATGTACTCTCTTGGATAAAATTAATAAAATTCACGAACACAAAATTAAAACGACTTAGACAATCAGTATTCTAAGTAATACCACCTATAGCTTAAATTGAACTGCGATTAAAATTGAACAAATATAATAAAACTTTTTCTCAATTAATTTATTTATAAAATTAATTACAACAATGGTCACAACGATATTGTTTCATTTTCTTGTCAACTCCACATAAGTCGTGTGTCCATCCTTTACATTTTAGGCACTGAATCATTTCTTCATAGATATTATAGGAAGAAGAACACGGTGTGAAAGAAAATATGTTGACGGTGTGAAAAAAAATCGTATTGCCGGAAAAGGCACAGTTGGCATGATATTGCGCCTAATTATTTAAAACGTACGACTTAAGAGGTGGTACGACTTGCCCAACCTTACTCATAAATTTAGTTATCAACGATTTCAAGTTATTTAGAGTATGTCAATTGCAAAAAATGTAAATGTTGTAGATTTTCATAGCCGAAGTTATTACTAATGAAGAACTACAGGTTTTCTGCAATACTTTTGAAATTTGCTGTGGATAATATATTTTTTCAATGTGGTCGCGTTTACTATATTCGTCACACTACCTTTTAACGTAACAAAAACTGGTGGATTTAAGTTAAGGCGTCGTGAAAGTTTATACTTGCTTATACTGACATGCATAATGATAGCTAGTAGACTACAAAGCTTAGAACCAGCGAATAACTGAAATATATAGCCTTATAGGCTTAAAAATGATGCGAGAATTGCCTTTAAATATTAAGTCAATAATCTGCCGAGATTTATTGTCACTTTCTCAAAACGTGTTATTACATTGCAGTATTCTTGCAATGTAAGGTGACATTAAATGAACTGATAATTAAAAATGGCTCAATGAAATGAGTATTTATTTCTGCTCTTGGCAGATTTGGGGCAATAGATGACTGGGCCCCCTCTTAATTGTTCCTTTCAAACTTAACCACTTCTCTTTAGTTATTATTGAGCATTTTCTTAATAATTAAAGTAGCTTTATATGCTTTAATAGAAGAAAATGTTTTTCGATGAATTTGTCATTGATATGTGCTATTATATATCATTTTTGATTCCTGTTTAATCCTTTTTAATCAAAAAGAATATTCTAGCCAAAATTATTTGTCTTCCTAAAGCCTAGTGTGGAATAAGACTTATTAGCAAATTATTCAGTATAATCTATTTTTACATTTGGATTGCAAAAGTCTCTGTTTTCTAACTGTTAAAGAAGGAAATTCATTAATTATTTTATAGTCTCTTTATACCTAACGTTCTAAATTATTAGCCCACAATCATTACATTTAACTGGCCTTTATAATGGTGCCATCTGGTTGCAAGGTTGACATAATCTGATTAGTCATCCCTCATTCTCAGGTATATTTTTTATTTAATTAAAGATAAATTGAATTTCTAATTAGATAATTAAATTCTTGGCTTGAAAAGGAAAAATATAAATAAAGTTAGGGAAATTTAATTTTTCAATACCTTAAACTAAATTTTCAGTACAAAATATCGATATATTTTCCCCTCTTCTTTAGAGTCCCCCTAAGCTAGGGGCCTCCGAGTGCCCTTGTGGTACTTACGACCTTGTCCAAATGTATCATATTTATTCAGGAATATAATGCAGTGGTCTGAAAGCATTTTAATAATTATAAAGCTTAAATTTTGGTAATTAATTAAATCAACTTACGTTTTATAATATTTATTTCAAAAAGCTGCACATTTTTAGTTGTTTTGTTCTTAAACTATTTTTTTAGACAACTCGTTTCAACTTTCAATGATACTTCAAAAAGGATAGATTATCGCTACATTGTCAAATTTATTTATTTATATCATTTTTATCAAAATTTTAAAAAATTAGCAGGAAACATTAAATAGGGAAAGAACGTATAGTTAGTTTTCCTGTTTAGTGTTTGTTTTTATTTGATGCATCACTGCAAGGCGTGTACGATACAATGTAGTTTGCGATGAATTAATTGAACATATTTAAATATTTTAGTATTTTATGTACTGAGACTCTGGAATAAGAAAATGTTATATAAATATAAGAATGGAATATTTCGAACTCTAGCTTCTTTGTAATATGCCCTTGTTATCTAGAATAAGGAAATGGACTGTTATTAAAACAAAAATTCATTTGTTAATATTCATTTAAAAAATAAAGAGAAAATCTTACTCGGTTCTTGATTGTTGAGCTTCTCGAGAAAGTAACTTAAATGCATACTCCTTTATTTGGCATAAATAAAAAGGAGGCATATACGTTGCTACCTAATACACTACACTCGAAATCTACACCAGAACATTACCAGAGAAAACCACTAATGTTTATTAGCGTATAAAAGTGTATTAGCACCATTAGCTTGTAAGGGATATTAACGTACAAAAGTGTATTAGCTATAAAGACGTTTTAGCGCCATTTATAGTCTACAGTTCGCAAGAAATATAATGGTTTACAAATATACAAAGAAACTAATTTATAATATTCTCTAAAATAACAATAATGTGTAATAATCTTTATAAATATCTAAAAAATAGCATCATTTTCAATCATTTTGTATGTAACGAATTTTTATCTGTAAATTATTCTTTTAATATAAGATTTTTTAATATAATATTAATTTTGCAATGAATACAGTATATAATTTTAAGGAGAAATATGTTAAATTTGAAATGTTTTGTTTTATAATATTTTCATTAGGAAAAATGAGTATATTGTATATAGAAAAATATATTTGTATTCTGAAAGTTTTAAATATTGTAAATAATATATTATTTTTAATAAAACTTGCTTAAAAATGTGGTTTGTTTGATAATCTCACAAAAATGCTCTTATTTTTCGATTTTTTAAAAGTATTTTGCATGTAAAAGAATTTGAGTTGAAACATTTCTAATCTCATGAGAATAATGAAGTTTTCAAACTGTTTTTAACTCTATAGTACAAATTTTTAGCCTTTCCGAGTTTTCAATATTTTTTATATTTTTAATTTTTCTCCCACTGTTTGGATTTTAAAAGATTTGTTTAAAATTACATATTACATAAGCTATACATTAATGGCAAACAATATTCCGACTATATTTTTGTTCAGCAGTAGTTTCGTAATCTTAAATAAATAATAATTATATTTACGTATACAAATTTGCATTTTTCATACTTTCATGATCGAGCTAAATGCTGAAAATGTGGAATTCGAAATTAAGCCTAACTTGTGTTGATAAGACAGATTCTCAAAATTTTCCTACTATACCTTTAAATTTCATCTTAATGAAGTTCGACTACGTATGCATATATATAAACAAAAGTTTAGAAATTTCAAATTATGACGATAAATTAGTAAAATCACTTAGTATACTGCGAAATTAATTAAATCATCATGAGGTAATAATTAAATGATGAATTAAATCAAAAAATCGGGTTTAATAGACTAATAGAAAGTACATTCAACAAAACTTAAAACAAAAATAAAACAACTCTTTAAAATAATATAATAAAATTAAGAACTGTTGAAAATTCTTTGGCCTTTTTCAAGTAGCAGCCGAAATATTTTCAACTGCCATATTTTCGTTTCAGATGTCTGCATGACTGGCAGTTCTTGAAATAATTTAAATGAAAGTGCCAAATAGAAAATTAATTTAATTAAAATTATGAATTAAAGTCCATTAAAACTGCAATACAGTAAAATTATTTTTTTGTAAATTTTAGTTAATAACTAAGTTGTAATCTTCTTCTGCGTGAACCTAAAACAAAAATTGCTGTGAAAAAATAAACAGTATAACAAAAGTTTCGAAGAAAGAAACCAGAAAAATCATTGGGTAAATTAAAAGCTATGTGCTTAATAAATATTTAAATAAATTTAAAATCAAAGAAAATGCAAAATTGCCTAACTTCGTAAATCAAAAGCAACTATTGCAAATCAAAAGTAAATTTAGTTCATATCAAGCTTTTTGATAAAACGATTTTATTTTAGAGAAATTGACAGAAAATAAAATAAATAAGACTCCTTTTAATAATGATTTATGTGGAAAAGTTCCAATATTGAGGAAGAAGGGGAAAAAATTTTAATGGTAAAAAACTTAAAATGGCTTATACTGGAAACAAAAATAAAAATTAAAAAAGAAAATATGCTCAAAATTGTACAAAAAGCTTTACAATGAAACTGAATCAATAAATTTAATTAAATTAATTTGAATGAAATGTAAAAAAAGTAAAACCTGAATGAATAAACATGTATATATTTTCTAAAAAAAAAAAAAAAAAAAAAAAAAGGATTACAGCTACCTCCATGATGAAATATTTTAAAGGAATTGTGCAGCATGAATACAGAAAAAAAAAAATAAATAAAATATTGCGCTTTATTGTAAAGTTTTAGTATGTTTCGACACGATGAAGCTATCTAATCTAATGTAAAGAGAACCTTTCAAAACAAATGTGTATGTTAACGTGTGGTGTGGTGTATTTAATTATGGTAAAGCACACTAGGGCTATCTGCCTAAGGGGAGGGATGCCTTCGTGGAGGACTTTCTAAGGGGAACTGGCTCGTATACACGTTACACATGAGGAAAACCACGAAAACGCCCATGCAGCCAGCCCGTTCGCGGGATTCGAACCTCGGACCGAACTACCAGTGTTCAGCGTCTTTACCGCTCGGTCGCTGGTGGGCTCCGTATATGTTAACGCATAAACGTGATTCATGCATTAGTCAATTAGACGACTTGTTTCCCAATATTCCTGAGTGGCAGAATTAAAAGTATTAAGAGCACAACACGTGTTAAAAAGGCTCTTTCCATCAGTTGTCCAAAATCACAGGAAACACACTGGGAAATTCCAGGAATTTTCTCAAACGGGGTTCCCATGGACTTTCAGGGGTTCTAAGGTTTGATGATGTCTGTAAGAAAACAAAAACTGTATTTCGGAGGTCTTTAATAAAATATTATTAATAAAATTTAATAATTGTACAGTTCATTGCACTCTTTTCTGATTGCAATGAATTTACGTGCAAAATTTCAAGGCACATATTCAGTTTTGCTTTGAGCTGATAATAAGAATGAAGACTTGAGAACTGAAGGCTTTATTTCAGATTCATGTCAGTTTGGAAGTTACAATTAACTCCGGTCGAACACTGCCGATAAACCGTGATTCAAAACAAGAAGACAAATTGTGGAAAGACATTATGGATGCTTTTGTTATAAGATATTTTCTGAAGTACAGTCTATCATGTACCTCAGATGAATACATTGAAATGTCAGCTAAACATTAGCACTTTATACCTGAAATCCTAAAACAATAAGTAAGCACGCACGATTTATAACGTCTGTTTCTTCCATGAGTCTGTTTCTTTCTCGAATGACTATGGCTATTTGAAGTTTTAAAGTATTTTTTTCTTCCTTTCCGCATGTCTTCGCGGTGTAACTGGAAACACTCTGGACGCGTAATCGGGAGTTCTGGAGTTCGAATCCATGCGAGGACACTGCGGATTCCTTCTATATCCTGATATCGCAAAATTCTAACGACTCTACAAAGTAACAATGGAATTAAAGCGTATTGGTGGTGTCACTGCATTAGCATAATCAAGCCACTCACGCTGAATGGCATAATACAACCATAGGTACTGAATCTCTCTATAAAATAATTAATGAGATAGACATTATATCTTGTAGGTGCTCTATTGAATGTAAATCCTGGCCATAGCGTGCGTTAGGAAAATACGTAGAAACAGTTTTTCGTCATTTCTGCACAATGGAACTCCATACAATGAAAGACCCACCTTCAACTTACCCAACACATTTCTGACAGATACTTGCATAATCACATGCGATCTTGTCCATGCATAAACAGGTACACCTGGATCAAGACAGCTGGAAGTATCATTCATCCAAGCATATCATATAGCATTAGCCGTTCACTGTTCAATGATGATGTTCTCTGATTCTGGTGAGTGAAATTACTCGATGTTATAAAGTCAACAATAATATGTATCTTGGCCAACAATTACTAAACTAATATCATACTGTTTACAGCATTGATCTTAAGCATTGATCATAATTCAAAGCTGGTGAAGCTTAAGCTTCACCAGCTTTGAATTATGAGATTTGATTCAATATTCTCCTACACTGAAGATTTGCCTTTTTAACTCAACCGCCGGCAGTCCTATGTTCTTTATATTATATTTTGATGCTAATCGTTTTCCCCGAATTGAAATTTTTTCGAATGCCATTCTTTTTCACAGTAACATTTGCTATTAAATAGATAGAATGCATTTTTGAGAGGCATATTCTGCCGACAATCAGATGGAGATAAATCATGCATCTGAAAACATTTCAACTTTCAGTATCAACTGATTAAGTTAGATCTACATCTTCCCAAATTAAAGCAATACATGAGTACTAATCATAACCGTATAAGGTACCGTTATATCGTATAGGTTTTATACAACCCTCATTGGTCTTTAATTATCCTCATGGTTTTAGAAAAATAGCCGCAGGAAGGAATAGAGAACTGCGTTTAGCATTTTTAGAACTTGAGTTTACATTGATAAATCACATGGATATTTTTAGAACTTGAGTTTACATTGATAAATCACATGGATATTTTTAGAACTTGAGTTTACATTGATAAATCACATGGATATTTGAAATTTCACATATGAACTAAAATAAATAAAATGGCGCAAGTCTCTTCCAATTACAGTACCTCCCTTAAGTCAGAAAATCGATGCCGGATTACTAAGTATGCCGTATAATTCGATTAAAATTCTGTAATGCCGCAAAATAAATATTTTTAGCATTGTTAAACGTTTAGAGGAATGGGAAAAATTACACATGGTAATTTTGCAAATTTATATAATAAAAAATCGTATTAAAGTATGTTTTTTCATAGTTTAATTATAATGAATCAGTTGCTGCTTTGAATTCATCAGTTTTGTCTGTGCAAACTGAAGTCTCTGCAAGTATACCCTTCAAATATCCACTTTCTTCACAGGTTCTACTCTTTTCCTTTAAAAGCTCATTCCGTTTAGTGAGAATGTTTAGTATTTTTCCAACCTTTCACCAGGTGATCTTGCTGATTCTTCTTCGCCGTCGCTCTTCATTTCTTTTTGCTACTTGATGATTCAACCGACTGTGAAATCTTCCACTACTGCTTCGCTTTTATACAGTGGCTCGCATTTGTTTTTTGGACACTTGATATTCTGAGTTTTATTTGCAGATATACCCTATGTCAGTAATTAAGTATTAACAAAATGAATTTATGTTTTCTTTTTCTTACACATGTACTATAATCTGTTTTAAAATTTGCTTGATTTAAAAAAGGTATTCAAAACTTCTTTTGTAAAATAATAATAATAAAATTTTAAAAAGTCTGAAAGCTGTCAGATTTTAGATTACTCCCAATAGAGCGATTTTTTTTATTTACGAAGACATAGACGTTTCGAAGGCCGTTTCGAGAACATTTAAGCTAACGCCCCTTTGGACTAAAAATATTTAAAAACGGCATATCATTAGAATTTTCTATAGAAAGACTCGCGAGCTGGAGATAAAAATGTTTTACTATTTACAATGTTGCCGCTGCTTTCTTTGAAGTCGCTGAGTTTTTTAATCAAAAATTCATTAACATTTTACGAAATATGAAATAAATAATAAAACAAATTTGAA